GGTCTCTATGACTAGGGGTAGATCTCAAGTACTTTTGTCCTAGCTGCCTTGTATGACGAAAGAGGCGGTGGTCGGAGAGAGCGTTGACTTTAGGGGAGATGAAAGTGGGAACACTGTGTAGATCGAAACGGAAATAACCCTGGTCGGAGTGTCCGAGGGGTCTAGAACCATTGCGAAACCGAAAATAACGAATTAGTAGAAAAGAAAAGGGCTAGTGGGATAGCACTAAGACAAGTCAGGCAGCACGGGAGAGATATAGGCCGGGCGAAATCTACGACATCGGAATCGAATATTGATCGCCAGATAGAAGTGGACGATGAGGCCGAATATTAGTCATAGCTCCCGCCCGCGCCCGTGTTCTTAGACTGCCGGCATGTGATGGTACCTGATCGGAAAAGACAGATCGTCTGCCTTGTACGCGCGACTAATGGGCTTGGAAAAACCAAGATAGTATTATATCTAGGCATCAAGGGCGACATGACCGGCTCAGCATACCACAATTTACAACGCGATGGCAGGCAAAGTGGGCCACTATCGGGCACGTTGTTGGCAAAGCAGTGATCCCTTTTCTGGCCTCTTGACCTACGTCGCCGATGGGCTCTCTACAGTGAGCCGAGAAAGAATGCAAGTTTGCCCTGAGACGTGAACCGTTATATCCGTTCGGATGTGCCGCAGTCATCTTGCATTAGGGCGAACCTTATTTCCAACATCAGCAAGTTTAAGTTGGGAGAACGCAACGTTTCCGATTCAAAAGTTTGTTGGGTGGAGCTAACGCTTGTCCGATTTAGGAGCCTCCAGCGCTATGTTGGTGATCGGCATTGATTTGGAATCATGACAAGCTACTAAATAAACTTTCCTGGACATACAGACCTATTGAATTGACGCTAGAATGTTGGCACGGTTGATCTCAGATGGGATTGTCGTAACCTCATTACGATATTCAGCCGGCTATTACGGCAGGCCAACCTTGTATCTGTCTATGCAAATGAGGCAATGGATGATTATACATACCCTCTTGCTTGACTCTTTCTGTATATTCAGTTTCAGGGCAAGGCCCTTAATGGCCGGCTGACTATTGTAGTGAGGTTACGACACCTCCACCTGAGATCAGCCGTGCCAACATTCTACCGTCAATTCAATAGGTCTGTATGTCCAGGAAAGTTTAGTAGCTAGTCATTATTCCAAATCAATCCCGATCATCAACATAGCGCATGAATGGTCAGCGACCCGCGTCTTTTGCCGACCATACGCCAGCATCACCTCATAACGGAGCATATCGTGTGTACGGCGACAATATCGGCCTTTATGTGACTGGATGTTTGGATTCCTATATTTCCACGAACGCAGATCTTTCCTTGCTATTCATGACTGTTTCGCCTTCGTCCCCCTCCTCGTTTTTGGATAGTTACTTGAAGCTATTGTTCAGTCCGGCTCAAACCAAAAGAAATCCTAGCATCACTGCATCGGGCGCTTCGAGCGAGCCATTTTTCGATCCCCGCCGACATTGTCCTTGCCTTTGTCTCTATTCTGCCGCAGTTCTTTCACTTCCTCCTCCAGGATGATGAGTCTCTCCCTCAGGGTCTGTAGAGACTGCTCCGTGTTTTCATTACAGTCGCGCTGGACCTTGGCGAACTTCTCTGTCCCTCTGAACAAACTTATTAGCGTCTCTCCAGCAGCCTTGAGCATGAGAATGCCATGTCGATCGGAAGTGGTACTTACTCTTGGCGTAAGTCCAGGCTATCAAGCTCTCAGTCAGCCTTTGCTACGAAAGACCTCCATCCAAGAATAGTGTATTGCGACTTACTCGGCCAGCATTGTAAAAGCCATCATGATCGAACCCTCAGGTGGATCTTCGGAAGTTTTGTCCTTGACTGAACCCTGATCATGCTCGGCCCCGTCGGCCTCCATGGCCCAGTCATCTTGGTCCTCGTCACTGTCTTCGTCCATAGGGGCGATCTCCCCCTCGTCACCGGATTGACCATCCGCTCCGTGAGTTTGATCGTTTCCGTCTGGGGAACTTGACCTGGGCAGACTCCATACGTCCCTTGACCTACAAGGTTGGGGTGCAGACCGGCATAATCGACTCCGATAACTTGCTGTGCCCACCATGTCTGTCTTTCGGGCTTGTCGAGCTTTTCGAGAAGTGGAACAAAGTACCGTGAAAATTAAAGAAACACAACCAGACATGGGAAGCTCCGCTAATTTATAGGCCCGAGCCAACCCGCGCATCACAACTCAGCCTGGAACGCAGCACAGGGATTGATCCCTGCAAAGCTAATTAGCCATTTCAATTTCTTTCCAAAGAGCACAGATGTCACGAACAGTAACATTACCCCACAGCGATAGCTAGGGCAACTGGCCGACTGGACAATCTTGATGGGTGACCCAGAAGGCGTATATCATACATTACCTGGCCAAATGCATTTGTGAGTAGGATAATCAGCTTAGTGAGAGAACGGTACCCCTTCTAGTCAAGCCCGCACCAGTATATAGGCCGGTAGCGGCAGGCGCTGGCTTACGCCTCGATGGAGGACGGAAATATATTCCAACCCTCGGATAGATGACCGAGAACTCACCATGGTATGTCATCTATGAAGCACTGTTGATCCCCGTGAGCTCGGTTCCACATAGGCCTCCGCTTAACCAGGTCCAGCAAACCAGTTGCGGTGGGCTTGGTGGATCCAGTCAAATCCGTTCATTGCTTGAAATCACCAGGACTCGCACATGCCGGGCAGGCACGACCGCAAATATAGGTGGCGTATTTGTCCCCAGTTATCCTCCCCTAGGTCAAGTCGGCTTTTCAGGGCATTTCATTACCGTTCACCTTTCCTTCTGTTTGCCCGCCCATATACCTGTTTACTGCTTTTCGTTTATGTCTCGAAACCTCTCATAACAATGCCCAAAGCCCGTTGGCCCCAAGCAGAGGCGGATAATCTTTTACCATGGCTATCCCGACATCAGCATCTTTCATGGAAAGCAAAGTCTGTGGCATACATAAAGCAATATGGTATCAACAGATCCGGCGAAGCGCTGCGAGGCAAGCAGAACCAGTTGGAAGATGAAGCTCGCCAGCGAATGGAGGAAGCTTCTGAAGTCCACCGAGAACCGGCCCGCAAGACAAGGTGCCAACGAAAAGAAGCTTTCCCGTCTTTAACATTATATACCCCGGCCCTCACACTGAGGAATCCCAATCCAAGGGTCCGTCAATTGCTACAACATTGGCGGTGCAGACAGCACCCTTTCTCTAGGGGATCCTCGAGGAAAAGCAGCCAAAAACTCTTTGGTAAGTTAAAAATTGATATACACTCTGACTGGAATGACTCACGGACGTACTGATGGATGGGGTACACTAGGTGGTCAACGAACGCTGATTCTTCGATCTCAACATCCACGAGTGATTGCTTCTTTTTGGAATTTCATCCACCGCCGAACATCTGATAGGACATTGAAGGAATGGTAGGCCTTGGGAACAATCGAGGATTGATCCGACGATTGGTCCTATACGTCATGAAGTCTCCTCTATTCTCGCATTTCTGAACACCCCAGCACAGTTGGTTAACCCCAACTACGCTATGTATGTACTGAGTCAATATTGCGCTCTTACTCACTACGCCATACCGTGCGATGACGGAGCCCCGTCTCCAGGCTTCACTTAGTCCTGGACGCGGGATCAGATAGCACTTATTTTCTTTTATCATTTTTCTTGTTTGAAGGTTGTGATACATACTCGATCACCTGTGGAAAGGATGTTAGTGCACGACTGGAAAGGAAGACACGTTGACCGTCGTCGCATCAGCGGACTTATATCTGAGACTGTAATCGCTCATGTTCGACGATGATAGCCATATTAAACACCACGAGGAACGCAAGGCAAGCGGGTCTGGATGAGGCAGCGAATGATACATTTTGACTTACTTCGCTAAGAACTGAGAAAGTGGGCGGCAACTCCCGGATCAGGCCTTTCATAAAAGTTGGGATAGTTCCCAAAAGAGAATAGCAGCCTGCGCCATGTAATTTCCCATGATACGCTAAGCATTGTCATGTAATTTTCTTTCTTGATCGGTTGGGACTAGTAATGGCCTTACGGACTGGTTTTGGTACGATCGGTGTAGATCATTAACCTCCAACCGGCCCCGCCATTGATTCCACGGTTCACCTCAAACAGCCTAAAAAAGCCCACCCCTGGGGGCAACGGATGTATTTCCAGTTCCCCGGCCAATCGTGTCACAACATGATCGCTAGATAGCAAAGGAGACCTACCCACCTCAAGTGTGGTATCCTGCCTGAATGAGGGAGCAGCTTGATTATGAGTGATCCGTGAGCAGAGAAGGCTATATTTTCCTGAAGGGACTCGACTGGGCGTTGTAGCGAATACAATGTATTTCGGCGAACTCATTAGTATTAAGAGGATTTACCATTATTGAATGTAAAAAGGGTGGGAGGAGTTCCGTGCGTGTGCGTGTGCGTGTGCGTGCGATCGCGTCCACCCTGAATATAACATGCTCGCCAAGTAATATTACCTTGGATTGCTGTCCTATATCAGAGTGATCTTGTACTTTTCCGGAAGTGCTTCTCGTCAACCACACCATAAGTTTTCATGTCGGGACAGACTTTCCATGCCGCAAACAGATCGCGCGGTACGATGCTTTATTGCCACGAGCTACGAAGCGACGGAAATTACTTAGCGCTACTGTAACTTTTCTTTGACAGACGAACGATAAGTTGTCGTGGTGTTGGGTCGTGGAATTATGAAGTCCGACTCACGATCACATGACGTGAAGGATTGTGACTAGTGCGCCGTCAATCTTATAAATTAATCCAGCGTTGCTCTAAAACCTGTCTGGTGACATAAAACTCTGGCACTCCAGGATCCTCTTATCAGCATTTGACCTCACATTGCCGATTTTGTTGCTTAATGAATGACTTTGGGCAAGTAATATTCTCCCTCGAGCATTTCACATTTTTCTGACTCTTGTCTGTTCAGATTGAGTGACACCTAAATGGATGCCAACGCTGTCAATGTTGAAGGCTATGGCCACAACATTGGATGGGATGACTGCAGTGGGGACATTCTACCAGAGATGAGTCGTGTGTACAGGCAGCATTTCCAGCCTTCTGAAGACATGTTAGGTTTTGTCCTTCAACAATCACAGTCACACCTCAGAGCACTGGCGGGACGCGAAAGCTTTGCCGGGTTCTTAAATGTCTCACTCATGAGTGACATACTAGTGAAGAGAACAGAAGTCATTTTTGATGCACCGAGCCCTTGCGTACTCCAGTCTGAGAATAGCGAAGCTAGTACCAATATCAGCTGGCTCGATGTTGTCAAGGCGAAGAACTATCAGGCCGAACATACTGGCAATGGGGTTTACCATTTCCATATGCGAGATCGGGGAGTGATTGTTCAGTTGTCTACCTTCCAACACAATATGCTTCTTTCGGGATTACCCCGGAAGCTTGTGGAGCCCTGGTCATACGAGAAAGATGTGCAGATGGAATTATATACCCTGGCCCTGGCAGCCGAAATGACGTCGCATATGAACCAACTTGCATCGGAAGGTAAGCCCACTCAAGCTATCTTTATTCTATTCACTGGCTTACATTACCTCGCAGTCATCAAAGTAAATAACACTGTCCTTGAAGGGATACGAGGAAGAGATCGAATCCTCCGCCACCATCCGGAGCCAAGTCAAAGATCCGCAGGCTCGCCCTTTCCCCTGGAATCAGCCGAAGGGCCAGCAAACTTTACGCCAGCGGTTGACACTGGCTCGCTCGACGGGATGGCTATCGAGACTGAAGGAACAGACGTGCAATCCAGTGCTCCAAAGCGCGGTGCTGTAACACGGAACTGTAAGTAATGCGCATATGAAAACATAGCATGGAAATCGAGGAGGTTGAAGAAATGTACTAATAATTTGGATGTACCAGTCCCCAAAAATAGGGTTTGGCCTGCAGAAGTATTGAAGCAGCTTCCTATATGGTTCGAAGACCAAGTACGGAAGAATCTGTCGCAGGAAGAGATTGCCCAAAATTTCCACCGAACATTCAAGCAAAAACGGACTTTCCATGCTATTGAGGCAAAGCTGTATTCCTTAACAGGAAAAAGTCCATTTAGGAAGCGCAATAAGAAGACTTCGCGCAGAAGACCCGTGTCTTTGACACCTCGCTCCTCTCCACCGCTTCCTCAACCCTCTGAATCAGTGGATTTCACCCAACAATTGATCTCGAGGTCGAACATCGAGGTTCACGCTTTACGTCTAGCCCCGAACCTGCTTCCTTACCTGAATTCCGAAGACTGTGAGGATGGAAACCTTTACGCCCTTCATGGTGTTCAACCGTTTGACCCTGAATCAGAATCCAGCAACTCGTATGCAGTACCTGAACACGATATTGCAAGTCAAACGTTATGGTGCCTGCACGAATCCCAGGGACATGAACTTCAGTCAGGTACAAGTCAAAATGAAGGGCCACTTCGAGAAGGCCGCCAGGCTGAAGAATCGCCCAAGGCCCATCCAGCGTTCTCAGATCTGGTGCCCGAAAGTCGGCCAACGAATGAGAGTTCAATAAATGTCCTCGCCGCAACATCAGGGACGGTTGACTCTTACTTGCCTCGAAGCTCTCCCTTAAAATTCCCTCGGATATCGGAACCTATCCAATCTCCAATTCAGCATCACTCTGAAGGCGATACCACACTTGAAGAGCTAGGCCGAACGCTTATCCATCGTACTGAGTCCAGTGCAATGCACGTGGAACAGAACACGGCGCATGGCAACCAAACATCAGAGAGACTTTCTCCGCAATCTTCACCACTTGGAAACCCATTGGCTAGAAATTTAGCAAATGAGGGTCCCAATAATGATAGCCATACAGAAAGTGGACTCGGTGCGTCGACTGTTCCAAGAGCATCAACGCCCTTCCAAGTTCCTGAACCAAGCTCCACTGGTAACTCTACTTATCATCACTCTCAGAACTGCGGAATGGATGGGCCAACCACCGATACCTCTGAAAGAGTTTTGATTGATGAGGAATTGATCATAAGATGTCTTCATGAGAAATCTCAAGCACAGGCGGCGCGTTCTCATCGCCCATGGAACGATAAGGACCTCAACCGTTTACCAAGGTGGCTCATGAAACGGAAGAACCTACCAAAGGAAAGACTTGAAGTTGAGTTTCTGGGAGATTTTGGACACTATCGAACTTCTTCTGCTATCGTTACAGCTTGCCGCAAAAAAAGAAAGGCAGATTCTCTCAATAAGGATGTAACCTCAGCCCCCACTGCAGGTCAGCTAGTTCCGGTTGTCCCTACCGTTTTCGATATTACGGGGGTATCACGATCCCCCATCGCCATCATTGGATCCGACACTCCCAGCTTGAATCCATCCCATACCATAGCAGTGCCGAGCAGCAATGAGAATACTACCCTCAAGCATCCACGGTTGGAGCAATTTCAATCCCCACAACTCAATCAGCCACAGGTTCTAGACAACGCAGAGAGACTTCCTCGCAACAGTCCTCCACCAGTGCATGAGGATGAAGAAGCAGTGGGTCAAAATCCACCGGCTGCTGTTGCTTCCGAATGCGCTTCCGAACAGATGGTGTTTTCAACACCCGAGAATGTCGAAGATATCCACACGTTGGGCAGTCGGCGCCATCGAGTTGAAATCACGCCAGAACCTCCGGCCAGGTTCACAACGATTGATGGCAGTAATGTTCATCCCACTGAACCAAATATAAGCAAAATGACTCCGCTCGTTCAGATGGAGACCAATGAGCAAGACGCTCTACCTGTCGGACAAGGAATCCAGCAAACACCCACGGGAAAGATTGTCGATCAGAGTAGTGATGACCAAAATGTGTCACAGAAATACGGGCCTCAGGGTAAGCTCTCCTCTAATGCAGAGTTCACCATAATCATTTGGCCCTTTAAAGCGTGTCAGATCTATATGTGCTACCTGACCTTTTTCTTCCCCTTCCTTTATCTGTCTTTGCTTCCCATACTGACTGTTTTCATTCGCACTTGTAGGTGGAAGAGGAAGTCATAACCACCCTATCTCTGAGTACACACAAGCAGGTTCGCATTACTCATTGTCCACCGGAACACCCGAGGGAGCCCAAAACCAGCAGTCAGTCTCTACTGGTATTCCGAGTACCAATATTCCACAACAGGAAATGCGCCCAACTTTGCAGAACACGTCGCGGCCTCAACTACGAGATGCCAATATCCCACCAACACACACCCGCCAGCCCAGCAACATATTAATCCCGAATTGCCCGTCTAACTCCAAAAATTCGAGCTCTCGCCAATCTCAGTTATACACGCCCGATTCCCAATCTGGGATTTCTCAAACTAGCGGTGTGCCAGGGAGGGCTCATACAGGGGGTTCGTTAATACTTTATACTCATGGTCCAACGCAGTCCTGACATGAAGTCCGAAGCAGTTGTTCCAATATCATTCTCATCATCCTTTCTGAGCAGCCCTACCAGTCTTCCTCACTTTCCCCTTCACGAGTTGCAGAGACACGGTGCTGAACGGTACCAGGGCCCTCGGCTTCCATCCTTGGCGCAGCAAATGTACCACCATCGTCTGGGTGAGCCTCTTCATAGATAGCCGGGTGTGCTGTCTAGCCCTTATACTTCCCCGCCTATCACACCTGGCCCAACATGCTCTACTCCGATAGTCTCGCCTAATTAGACATGGCACGGTTCGCGTGATACCAGTTCACAAAACACTCCGTCATTATCGTCGTCTTTGCCTGAATGTAAATTCCAATCTATATGCAACTAATTTGTGTTCTCTTTCCGCTTTGCTGTCTCTTTTACTTGCTATATTTGGCATCCTACTGCCACGCGTTTACCGTTTAACCAATTCAGAACACTTCGGACTGTATCATATGGTCTTATATAGAACACAGATCATAGTGACAGGGATTTCTGTCTGCATCAGCACAGTGGTTGTAAAACTGAAACTCCACATATATTCTATGCCCTGCATAAAGTATTCGCCACCAAAGGGTCTTAACTAAATGTTGAATAATAGCCCATATCCGCCCAAACAAAACGGCCCTTATTGATCTCGCAGGCAACGTAAAGAGACCCGAGTTTTAGTCACTGAGGGTCGTACAAATTTATGGCCCACCCATTTTTGGGCTTTGCAAATCAAGTCTCGGAGATGGTTAGGAGCCCATGAAAGGGGATTGAGAGAAGTCAGGCGTCTGTGTTATCTCGTTACCTGACATTAAGAACGCAGAGAATGTTACAGAAAAACGCTACTTATTATGTAACAACGCTTGAGCATCAGATACAACTGTGCTGTTTTTGCCCGCCCCAAACTGATGACCATGCCACGTCTTGCCAGAGATTGGTTCAAGAGTTCGAGGGCGCTTCAACCATTTCACCTCCTCCAAGTTAATGACAAAACAAACGGCCACCCAGGTCATCCCACAGCATATTGCGACACTCACTGTCGCTGTGGACAACCACATGCGACCAAAGTACGATCAGAGCTTTGTCGCACTCCTGGTGAAAGAAGTTGGAATTCTCATCGTTGGTGACATGCTGAAGCCGCGTTCCAGACCAGCCCAGAGTTATCATCTTCGCTGTTAATTTGCCGTTGGACGACAACTTAAAGACTCCTTTCGTAGACAACAAAATAGAAGCAGCACCGCGAATTGATTGTCGATCACAGCTCAACCCTGTGGAGCCGAATCTAGGCCGGGTCAGGTTCACAAAAGTTGACAAGCTGATTCAGAACTGAATGATCATATCACGATGGGTTTGATTTAAATGCCAGGGATGGAATGGCGTGAAGACCAAGTGTTTTCATTGGTATTTCGTCCTCACGGTGAGAGATTCAGGACAAGATGATCATACTGACATGCCGTCCGATTGAGGTCTGGGCGCTTCGTTTAACGCATTTGACTCGGACCAGACACGAATAACTGTGGCTTGTTGAGCATTCGAAACAATGCTAACCTCGATTCCCATTCCCACAGGCCGTATCAACCTTGTCTCACTGTGCGCGTCTCATCTCCTTCTTCGTGCTGTCGTTTCGCTGACCTTATCACAACAAAGTCAGCACCATCTTTGATACCTGAGGCGCTTTGACAGTGTCGATTTTCCGGAAGTAATATCTCGGCCACAAGACGCTGCTGAAATATGCCAAAGGGCCCAAAAAGGATCCTCTTCCGCGAGATGATCGGCCAGCTCTTACGGGCCGGTGGCTTTTTTCGGGTTTTTAATCGCTTCCAGAAGCTCAGAGGTAAATTGAGCCTCGTAAAGATAGATAAACGCACAGTCTGGCCACTTCGTTACGAGAAGACGCGACTATAATAAATCTTAGGCTTTGAGTTTCGCAGGATGAGTGTATCGGTGTCTAGAGAGACGTACGGAGTGTGTTGTTTGCTTTTTAGTCGCCCGGGATCGCTCTTGCAGTTGGAAATAGACAGCAAGATACAAACGAAGTAGGGGTCCTCCTCCCAAGTAGCTGGGGTTGTTTGGGCCGGCCGTTTTTGATGGAGACGCCCGACAGGGGCGTTGTTGCCACTGCCGGGGATGGCTTACATCCTGAAATTTCTCCTTGCGACCGTAAATGGTGGATGTGTACAGCAGTCAAAGTAGCCTATCAAAATCTGAGAAAAATTGGTTGGCTTGTTTGCAACGACCAAACACGACATACAGTAGTTTGGCCGATGAATCGCTTGGCCTGCGACGTAGAATTTAGGTCCTCTTTGCTGTTCATAAATATCGGCAGTCATATTGTTTGACCCAGTTGCCCATGGACAGATGGCGTCGCTTACCAACGCTCTTCAAAAGCGCTTCCCTCATGCTCTAGAATGCGGTACGGGGCGGAGAGCTTCACAAGAGGCGCACAGCTTTTTGCAAGTCGCTCGGGATCCGATGAGGCGGTCGGGGTACACGGACGAGTCCGTAACCGAGGCAGATGACTCACGCATATCGTCCTTGTTTTGAGCTTGATGCATATCGGTGTTGTCTTCAGTGTACAGTAATTTTCGAATTCGGCTTGACCTCAAAGTTTTTAGACTTGATTCCTGGAAAATACATTCCGTATATACAAGTTATTATATTTAGTGCAAGACTCTAGACCGCTTTCTACAGTGGTGTAACATTAGTATTTGACCTCCAGTACTTCGGGACCGTGACCGCTTTTTAGACCGCCTACTTTACTAGTACTTCAACACTCGCGTTTTCAACGCGCCAGTATCTACGCTATAATTTTTACGCGTTTCTCACTCTGTCTCTCTATAATAATGCCTCCAATACGCGGAAAAAGAGGTCCAGAGCTTGACTGCCTTACCCGGGCTAAGATCTGCGAATTACATGCTACAAATGGCTGGGGTGCTACGACTATTAAGAAGCAGCGCTTTCCCGACATTCCACGCTCAACTATTCAATACACCCTTACCCAAGAGGTAAAGCGTCAAAAACAGCAAAGTCTTCCACGCTCAGGCCAACCGAGGAAGCTTACTGAAGAGGATCGTGACTATATCTACGATACTATACAAGAAAAGCCTTCAATTTTGATCAAGGATCTACTCGGAGAGGTTGATTTTAAGGTCCACCGTATGTCAATTTGGCGTCTAACCCACGAAATGGGCCTTCGAAAATGGAGAAAAATGCAGCGGCCGACCTTAACGCCTACACACGCTGAGAAACGTCTACGCTGGGCCCTTCAATATCAGCATTTTACGTCGGAGGATTGGGCCCGCGTCTATTGGTCTGACGAATGTACGGTTGAACGTGGTATTGGCCAGCGTCAAGAATGGACTTTTACGCGTCCGAAGGATCAGCTATTTCAGCATTCGAAAGAGGGCCATCAGGTTCAAATGGTTCCAGCGCGAGGGAAGCAAATTAAGCAGATGTTTTGGGCTGCTTTTTCCGGTCTTCCGCGTCGATCAGGCCTTATTCCACTATTCGGAGATCCCTTATCTCGGAGAGGTGGCGTTTCTTCGCGTACGATCGAAGAGCTTTATCGGCGCGTCTTACCTACGCTACTTAATAGCATTGATTCTAATGCTATTTTTCAGCAAGATAACGCGCCTGTTCACACGGCATATATCGTACGGGATGCTTTAAGTGAGCTTCAATGCGATATCATGGAATGGCCACCTTACTCGCCTGATTTAAACCCAATTGAGAACCTCTGGGCGCTACTCAAAGCCGAAATTCTTAAGCGTCATCCTGAGCTTATGCAGCTTCCTAATAACGTATCTACGCTAGAATTGCTACTAGAAGCTGCGCAGGAAGCATGGGAAAGTTTAGATATTGATCTATTTAAGCATCTATCGGAGACAATGCCTCACAGGGTAGCTGATGTCATTAAGTATAATGGGTGGCATACTAGCTATTAAATTGAATTCAATTTTGGAGGTTTCTGCTGGCAGTATTAAAAAAGTGGGTCCTGGCCCGAAGTACTCGAGGTCAAATACTAATGTTACACCACTGTATATTAGTCTGTGTATTTTACAATACGTGTTTGGGAGCATGAGGGATGTATATTACATGAAACTATCGTACACACGCTGCCCATTCACAATTTGTCGGACTTCCTGATCGCACTGTACCACCTGTTGAAATATAGGGAGATATATGGAGGAAGAGATGACGCCTCTTGGGGCTAAATGCATTAGGAATTGTAGGCACATCAAATTGGAATAACCTTCAGAATAACCTTCAGAATATAAGGCCCTTATTATGGTTTAAGAAGGAGCTCCACATAAAAATTATCAATTTCAGCCAATCAGACCTACGCTAGCTAACGGCACTCTAGCCGAAGACACAGTGTTCTGAAGCAAGGTCACTACAGTCATTCTCGAAATTGCCTTGACCAGTACACTCTTTGACTACTATAATGTAGGGTTCTTCTCCGCTGACCTAATATTTCGTGGGTTCTTTCTTACTACCGTAGGCAGTCAGGCTTGATAATGCACACGCGATGTTCTTCCAGGATGACTACCTCGTGCGGTTACCTCGTTAAGAAGATCATGCTAGGAAGTGAAAAATAGGACATTACTCTCTTCGCTGTGAGATCTATCATTTGTACGATGTTCTTCATTTGTCCTCCGGAGCTCGGCCAATGACGTGAATCAACGTGTGATAGTGTCTCGCTGGCTCGTGCGGTATCCTAAGAAAGTATCCTTTACTGTGTAGATTGGGTCAGTCGTCAATCCAAAGCCAGTCAAATGACATAATTTAACGTGACGACATGACATAGCACTTCCAATTTGGTTTCTAGAGGACTATGTGGGAGTGACAGGGCATT